CCTGGAATCCTTTCGTTGTAATTCGTATAGTTTCCTGAAAAGAGTTAATGAATGAATCGGCTATATTGTCAATGGAAAATGATTATCTAATGGAGAGGTTAAGCCGAATATGGCAGCGGATAGTCGTGAGTGGCGCCCCAGAGGGACGCCGACGAACGACTAGTCGCTTGTATTACAAGTCAACGTCAGATGTGTGAAAGAAAAGATCTGCATAGAATCTTACCTATTTTTTGATAATAGTCTGCCACAATTTCGTTAACGAAGAATTCTAATACAAGATCGATTTTCCAGAAAGATTAAGAAATTTAACATATTAAAAATAGTTCAGAACAAAATCTTTTCTTTGGAATTTCCACTGAACAATTCTTCAGTTATAAATCCAACGATTTTCGGATTATGCCAAATCTGAATTAGCATGATTGTAAATAAAAGAGGACGACCGTTTGGGGACATAGACTCAAGCATGGAAGTGGCTAGTTGTGAGTGACGTCCCGAAGGGGTGCCGATGAACAACTAGCCGCTGATCAGCAAGGTTCAGCGAAGAAATCCTTTAGACCGGTTGGATTTAAAGAAAAAGTGTCTAGGGACTGGGTTTGACTAACCGAAACAGTGTCCACAAATGGCGGGTGTAGGTGCGGGTAGTGGGTATGGATGTGTTGGTGTGAATGTGCGATGTGGGCGCTCTGGTTCTGGCATAGCTATACCCACACCGTCAATTCTCTTTCTAGACCATTCTCCGCCTCAATTTCGTAATAATCCTAAAAATGTAGTACCGAGCTTTATGCCGGTTTTTCCGTTATGCCATGTGAAATTATTACGTTCGTTTGACAAAAATGTATTAGCGTGCCTGTCAGTTATGTATCCAAAATACGAGATTAACAGCTTTGAAATTTTAGTATCTATGTTTACTGTAGTATCTCCATATTTATCATACGACTATTTGGTTCTAAGAAGCGGTATATGTCTGAACCTTTGAGAGAGCGATAGAAAAGTATAGAAAAGCATTTTTGACAAGCTGAAAGTCAATTATGTTCCTAGCTCTATAACAACAGCTCCATGAGCATTAACAAAGTTCCATCATATGTAATTAGAGTATAAAGTTATAAAAAGAACTCTCTGCTCATAAAGTATTTCCATTTCTAAGTTATGAATTCCATATTGGAGACAGATTGTGCATATTGTTACTCTGCTGCATCTCATGCAATCGCGAGGAGGGTTTTGATGTTGAACTGTTTCCAGTGAGAAATATTTACATTGAAGTTTTTAGAGCTACTGCTCTGGTTATGACTGATATTTGAATAGGGATGAGGAATACTATTCACTAGTAGTTGATTTGTTGCCAACACAGTAGGTTCTTCAAAAGATGAAGCTGCCGAATTACTCGCTTTCTCAAACCACAAGCCCCTGACGTTTCAAGAAATTAGAATTTCTCAATGAAATTCCTACTTCACAAATCCAGTCGTATTTTCATAATATGAATGAAGAAAACTACAAGTATATATATAAACAGACTGTCTGTTACCATTTTACCAATAGTAAAGCTAGACTATGTGCTGATCTACTTCAGTATGTCCAGCAGACAATTTGATAATGCTCTACAAAAGAATGAAAGAGATTGGGCATTGAAGTGTGTGTGCGCTAAATGGTCCAAGACAGAAAAAGACTACGCTACTGTAATTTATTGAATTTTAAGTTGCTTTCATTCGATGAAAAAAGAGTAAAAGTTGTTGTGCTTGAAACTTTAATCTTGACATCCATCTGTTTGGTTACATGTTTTGATTTTTGACATCAATCGGCGATTTTTCTTTATTTATTGTCGCTCGATACGGAATTTCAAACATTTTAATACTCGTTGAAGCAATATTAGTGCTTATAACAGAACATAATAATATGCTAAGAATATTAAGGACACGAAAGATTTACGGACAATACAGAGAGTACGTAGAGACATGGAGGATATAGTGAATATGTTGAGGATGTACAGAATACTGCAGAAATACTGAGGATACGCAACATACAGAGAGGATATAGAAGATAGCGGGATACACCTTTTCGCTTCTGCCATGTAATATATCCTTAATTTTGTTTTCTCACGTGCATGTGGGCAGATCATTTCTCATATCTACTTGCTCTAATTTCATATGTTTAGTGGCATCAAATCCTTTCAATAGAGAGTTAACGACGGTTACGCCGAGTTACTTGTTAGTTTTTGTTGTTAATATACTTAACTGAAATCGACAAACAATAATTAAACTCATGTAGGAATTGATTTCAATTATTGGTCGAAAAACAGTTTTAATTGTTAATAATACACGGGCAGAATAGAAGTGTATTCAAATGCAGGCGTGTCAGACAGAAGTACAATTTGGATATGAGTGGGAAGAAAACTCAAATCCACACTCACACCCTGATATTCAACATAGCAATGATCAGGGGCGTAACCAACAGGGAGGGAGGGAAAATGGGCGATTGCCCATTGAAATTTTATTTTTTTTCAAAATTTTGTATTTATTTTTGAATTAGTTAGTAAATTTTTTTTTCTTCCGTCTGAATTACACATGCACATGCACTCTTTGCTTTTTCTTCCTGTGAAGAATTAAACAGAACAACAAAATGATAAGTGCACAATTCACTCTAAAAAACGGTTTATTACTGTATCTTACAAGTTTGGCATTTGGAGACGCAACTGTTTTTAGGTTTCGTAAAATGAAAATCGTTTTGCATTTTCCCTGCCAAACCATTTTTGATTCAGAAAAACTCGACAGATTTAGTATCTTTCATACTAAACTATTTCTAGATTCAGCAAAAAAAGCAAAGAGTTTCGTATTTTTCACACGAAACTATCGGGTCTCCCTAGGATCAAAAAGAGATTCGTATCCTCTTTACGAAACTCCGTATGGTTTGGTAGCATAAAGAAAGGTTCTATATAGTTTGTAGAGAACCTTCGATAGTTTTCTCCGATACGAAAGAGTTTCGTATATTTTCTACGAAACCTACTGTATGTGGTTGATACAGTGAAAGGTTGTATAGTTATCTTACAAAACCCTTGATAGGACCGTACAATGTAAGACGGTATCGTATTTTTCTTTCCGAACTATTTTCGTACTTTCAGAAAAGAAAATAGATCCATATGTCTTCTACAAAACCTTTTGCGTTAGCGATTGTTGCCAAAGCTTTTTCCGAGCCTTTTTCTGTCCGGTCGGTAACTGAAAGCTTTTATACAAAACCATTAATATCGTCTGCATGTCAAAAGGTATCATGTAAACCAATTTGCCTACACAACATATGAAAATAGTTTCTGATTCGTTAAAATCATCTGGTATTACATTATTAGAATGATGTTTTCGTTTATCCTACACTACCACTAAACACTGCAATCGTTAAGAATCAACAGGATTGAAATTCATTAGAGTCGATTTACAATTATAAAACTATTAGATATAGAGAGTTGCTGCTATTTTCTCTTTTTCTTATCCTACTTTGCTTGCTTATATAATACTCCATAAGACACTGCTCACCAATGTTGATCTTATCAAGAGTGAGAGTCAAATTGAGCGTATTCTTACCGGGGTATAATTATAAGGAAATACATGCAAGAGCACGAGTGTAAGGGTACACAGGTAACGATATAAATATAGAAATACAAGTGATCGGGCGTAGATGTAACGGGATAGGTTTAAGGTAACAGCTATGAAAGTATACGTCTTATGGTATGGATGTAACTATTGAGGGGTAAGAACATAGATAAAAATATATACTTATAGGGGGTTAAATATAGGAATAAGAGTTTAGGCATAGAAATATAGGATTTCATATAGTTATAAGGATTTCGAATTAGTAATAAGCGTATCAGTATAGAAATAAGAAGTGGATATAAATATAAGAGATTGCACATAGTCATAAGGGGTTAAGTATAGGAATAAGAGCTTAAGTGTAGAAATTAGAGGTTACATATAAGTATAAGAGGTTATATATAGATATAAGCCATTAAGTATAGGTTTAATTTAATCCAGTGATTCTGAAGACTTGGATCAGGTAAATGATGAAGTTAATTTTGGCATCAAAAGTAATGAATTGATAGTGATTAATTCTGGACCTGACACCACTACAAATGATATCGATTATTATGTATTAAATAAACTGTCAATTAATGACTAATTGAAATATTCTCTGTTAACAAATAATTTAAAACCTGATAGAAGATATTCATTTTCAACGCAATATTCAAATGATCATAAACATTCTCGTCGATTCCTGATCAATGGGTTAAAGAATCATTCATTTCTTGTTTATTCACCGTATATTGAAGGTGGTCATTGCATAAATTGTGTATTATTTCGTGACGTACAAGGGCAAAAAAATTAGTTAGAATTATATTTGTTGATAAACCTTGTTATCGATAGAAACAGTTGAAACATTTCCCTACATCATTGAAAAGTCATATGAATTCACAATTTCATCAGAATTCAACAGTTGATACCGCTAATTTTATACATTCATATAAAGATCCATCGTTATGAATTTTATCGTTAATTGATAAAGGCAGAACTGAAAAAATCAATCATAATAAAGCAATATTAGCATCAATTATAAAAATAATTATTTCTTCGCGTCAAAACATTCTTTTCCGCCATCACAGAGACGAAACAATAGATATTGCATTTTTAAAACAATGTATCGATTCGGGCAATGAAATTCTTGTTGAATACATTGAACGTGAACCAGAGAATGCATTGCACACAAGTCCGCTAGTTCAGAATGAAATTATTGACTGTATACACAAATATATTTTGAACGAAATTTTGCATCGAATAGAAAATTGTTTGTTTTCTATCATTGTTGATCAAGCAACAGACACATCAACAGCCGAACAATTAAGTCTTTCATTACAATACTATGATAAAAAAACAAACGATATAAGAGAAGACTTTTTAACGTTTATAGAAACTGTTTCGTGTACGGGTAAAATAATAGCTAATATTATTCATGATTATTTAACAATGAATAATTTACCGTTTGATGATTGTGTAGATCAAGCATATGATGAGGGTTCAAATATAACTGGCAATTATCGAGGTTGTCAGACATTACTTAAACAGAAATGTCCAGATGTAGAATATTATCATTGTGCTAACCATTGTCTCAATTTATCACTGATTGATAGTTGTACTATTTCACAGATTCGTAACATGATAGGAACAATCAAAGAAATAATGAGTTTTTTTAAAGATTCACCAAAATAAATGTTTGCTCTTCGGTCTGAAATTACAAACTTTCAAGGACAATATATTGGTTTGACAAATGAAAAAAATCTACTGAGTGTACGTGATAGCCGCTGGATTGATAGAAATACGTCAATTGAAACAATTTTAGACTTATATATTCTAATTGTTAATACATTAGACACATTTAGATATGGAACATTGAAAGATTTAACAACCGAACAGTTGTATCATATCATAACAAATTTTCAACATATAATTTCAACTTGTATTCCATGTTTTTTATTATCAGGTATTATTTCCATTAGTCGTTTGCTATAAACAGAAAAATTGGATTTTTCATCAGCTAATCGATATATAATGTTATTTATAGTCATATTGATGAATTATGTAAAGAAATCTTTATCATACCATCTATTCCGCGTCATTCAATATTAGCTTTGTGAAAAAAAATGTCAATTTGTGATCCAGAACAATTTTTATTGTAATCATGTTTATTAACCATTCTTAGACGAACCAATTAATAATATTAAAAGTCGATTATCTGGCTTAAAAATTGAGCGAATTATCTTGTTAAATAAATTGCGACCGGAAGGAATTTTAAATGAAAAATCATTTGAATTAACAAAACATTGATCGAAACAATTCGCTGATCGTTTACCATCACCATTACAATTCAATTCTGAATCAGAAAGATGGCAAAAAAAATGTAACGATTTGCTTAAATTGGATGATGATTGGAGAAAAAAATGGTTAAATGAACTTATTGAAGAGGCAGACAATGTATGATATCCAAATATTCGTTATTTATTAATTTTATTGGCAGCATTGCCTGTATCAACAGCTTCTGCTGAAAGAAGTTTCAGTAAATTCTCGAGAATTAAAAGTTATTGTCGATCTACAATGAAACAAAATAGGTTAAACTGACTTGCTGCTGCATACATTCATAAAGATCTTAATATAAATCCAGATGAAATATTGAAATTATATGCAAAAATGCGTCATTGTCGTCTTGATTTTGGTGTTTGAATGTGAAATATTAATGTTATAAACAGAGACATTGAAAATAGACTAAAACACACCTGACTCAGGCTTAAAATCTGAGTTTGATGCATATTCGATTAAAAGAACCTAATTTCATTTTTTTGTGTTTTATTATGTTATCAATACTTTGTTGGGCCAAAAGATGTTCGGCCTATCAGAAAAAGCCTTGCCCCTTTTTGTCCATCTGTCTTTTTCGACACAAGAGAACTTTGCCCATTGGTCTAAAAATCCTGGTTAAGCCACTGGCAGTGACGGTAGTATTAATTTAATTTTGACAAAGGCAACTAATTTTTCCATTAATCCGTCAAAGTTATAATACTTTCTATACTTTGTTGAGTCAAGAAACCGATTAATATAGTTACTTTTAGTTGTTTTGTATAAGTATAGATTATCATACTGTCGATGAATTACTAGTCAGAAAGCTACACTCTAAGTTAAAATGCGTCGCACGTATGTGCTGCGAGTTATAGTATTGCAGGTTCAATGACGAAAATGTGTCGCAACAGAAAGTGTCGCTAATAAATTTGTCGCGTTCTGTGCGACGACTATCGATTGACCCTTTTCTTTTGCGCAGAAGGCTCTATATAGAAAACTCGATTGAACATAGGAAAATGATGTATTTTCATTTAAATAGCTTTAGATTATTTCTCGATTATTAATTAGCCGAGAGCATGCCTATCTCGATCATTGACCGATATAGGACTACTCTAAAGTGGTCTGGTACAAAACCTGACCGGCTCGAGGCCGGAAAGATCCTAAGATCTGACCTGCTTGAGTTTTCAGAAATAGAACTATCCAATAAAATAAAATCCGAAAAAATGTCATGATTTTTTGACAAAAAAAATAAAATGTGCTGGCTAGTGGATTCAAACGCGTTTTCAGAATGTGTCGTACAGAATGTGTTGCGCCATCGCTGGAGATAATGTGTCGCAACGAGCACCTTATGTCGGAAATCACGACACATGCAACGCATTTTAGCTTAGTGTGACTATTGTTTCTCCTATACTTACCGTGGTGTCATGCAGATATCAGCTGTATGATAAATAAGTAATATATAGTATCATCTACGGGTTATATATGTTGGAAATAAAATTAAAATTCAACTAGAAATAAATTCATACAGTCATCTGTTTTACTAAAAGTAGAATGGAATAAATGGAAAAGAAAATTTTAGTCATCGGGTTCTTGTCGATAAGTAGTGTAAATATAGATGTGCGTGTGACAACTGAATAAAAAAGTGTCTGAATCAGATTCCACAACCGCTCAAATAGATCATAAGGAACCGCTTTATTATAAAGAATTAGAAAAATATATTAATCACTCAAGTGAAAAGTTTTGAAAAAAAGGTGTTATGAAACAGAGTGTTTATAATTATATTGTTAAATGTTTATTATGATTCGAGGGCAAATCGTCAGATTTATTTTCTTCAAAACTTATTTTTTGGATAAAACAACACTTCATTTTAATTAAAATTGCTGTTATTGATATTGCTGTTATATTAAATTTTAAAAAAAATATTTGCATTTATAAAGGATATTACAATGCGTTACACGATGCATATGCTAGTGTTCCTGATGATGGTCGTGCTACAGGAGATTTTTAAACAATGCGTTTCGTGTCAGACACAAAAGCCGCTTATACAACGTA